TGTTCGTACTGTAAAAAGTTATATTCGTACATATAATGTCTTGAGTATGAAATGGCTATATACCAGTTCGTTCCAAACAAACTCAAAATTTTTTTTAATGGATCGTACTGTACAATCATAGGTTCATACAGACGATGTCCAGAGTATGACATATGTGCATAACCTTTAGTCCATTCAAATAAGTAAATTTTTTTGAACTATTTGTATTATATGATCTCTTGTTCATACATATGACATTTAGAGTACGAAATGGACTCATCCATTTTTATACCAAATGAAGCATGGTTTGTTTAAAAAAGATCGTACTATATAATATATGGTTTGTACAATACATTATCCAAAGTACGAAAGTGATTCTAATAGCATCATACCAGATGAATTAGTTCAATTTTGAACTGATCGTATGATACGATGTGAGTTCATACGTACGCCAAATAGAGTACAAAATTAGTTTATACAGGATCATCCAAGCAATTTTTGAACTGATTGTACGTACAATGTGCGATCATACTGTACGATCCAAGATGGACAAATTGAAATGTTTAGTTTTCTGGACGGTTTTTGTGTCTCTCATATTTATGGTCCTAAAAAACCTAACTGACAAGTATCCTTCTTTATTTTCTTTGAGAGCAAGAATGAGAGTGCTTTTGGAGAGTGTTTGAGTGTGTGGATAGAGAGATCTTACAAGTGAAATTTGTGAACGGTTCACAAGATTGCCCAAAGGTAAGGACCTCTTGGTAAGTTTATTAAATCTATTCCTTACTTCTTTGAAGACACTTGAGAGAAGATCTTTGGAGAAGATCGAGTTCTCTCTGCCAACACCAGGAACATCTGAAAGGATGACAATTCTATACCAACACAAGGAGGGTATGAAAGGATGACAATTCTCTGTCGATACTAGGGAGGTGAAGCAGGTCTGAGTGTCAAATATGGTGTGATTAAGATCAAGGATTTGGTGAGGTTTGAGGTGGCTAGTCTTAATTCGAGTTAGCATGGGATGTTGAGGAATAAAGGGAGATGAAATGGAGGAGGGAGGTGTGGTGTTAAGGGAATGGGAAGTAGGAATGGAGGTTGGAGGAGCATTAAGAGTCGAAGAGGTGCTGGAGGGAAGGTTGAAAGAGGAAGTGGATGGATGCATTGAGTGGGAAGGAGATGAGGTATGAGAAGGTGGAGCAACATGTGTAGGAAGAGACAAAATATGAGTTGGGGAGAAGAAGAGGTTGAGAGAGTGGTGGAGCGGTTTTATGAGAGGGAGTGTGGGAGGGATGGTAATGAATTAATTAAGTATAATATATTTGGAAATGAAGGTTTGACTAGTAGCTGGATTATAACAATGATAGCCTTTTTATGAAGAAGGGTATCCAAGAAAAATATAGGGTGCAGACTGAGTAGCAAATTTATTAGTTAAATAAGAAGAAGCCAAGGATTGTACAACAACCAAACACTCTATGATGAGTGTAGTCGGGAGGTTTGTTGTAAAGAAGCTAATATGGAGGTAGATTGAATATATAGGGGGATGGCAATATGTTAATTAAATAAGTATTAGTGGGCACAGTTTCAACCCAAAAAATGGGCGAAAGATGAGCTTCAATCTGTAGAGAACAAATGGTGTCATGTAAATGAGGGGGCTTACGTTCGACTATGACATTTTTCCACTGTGCATATGGACAATTGAATTGGTGGTGTATGCCGTGATTTGTTAGATATTGTTTGAGGGAGTTATTGATGAATTAACCACTACCATTAGTACGAAGGATGTGAATATTACAATTGACTTGATTTTCTATGAAATTTTTGAAATGAATGAATTTGTTAATTATTTTTTATTTTTTTCATTGGGTATTTTCACCACTACCATATGTAACTAGAAAAATTGTCAATAAATATTAAGTAAAACTTGAACCCATCATAAGGGATAATGGGTGAGGGACCCCAAACATCTATGTGAATAAAGTTTAAGGGAGTAGAAGAAAGTCTAATAAATTTATTAAATGGAAAACGATGTCTCTTGGCTAGAGCAAAAGAGTTACATTTTGTAGTAGTAGAAGAACAAGAGATATATAATTGAGAAAATGTTTTTTATATATCTATAAGAGTAATAGAACTCGGGTGAACCATTCTTTAGTGACACAAGGAAGAGGAAGTTGTAGGAAGATCTAAAATAGGGGTCGAGTTGAACATAGAATGGAGAGCAATGGGGTAGAGACCATCATGACAAGGATTGAGGAGAAGTATGCAAAGATTCTTCCTATCCTTGATGGTGTGCCCATTGTTGTAAAAGAAAACAAAATAATTTTTGTTAGTTGTTAATATTGAAATATAAAGGAGTTGATAAGAAAGTTTAGGAACATAAAGAATAGGGATATGGGAAAGGCTACGTAAAGGTGTAGGAATAAGGCCATTGCTAGAATGGAGTATAGATAGTGAATCTCCATTTTCTATGATCACTTGGTCCAATCCATTGTACGTAGAGGGATGATGAATAGATATTAGATTTTGAGTTTAGTGAGCGGTGGCACCAGTGTCCATGTACAAGGGGGTGGATGCACACCTGTGTTCTCAACAAAAGCATGTGGTGTATGAAATGTCAGGTATTCACGATGCCAACAATTGAAGGATGAATTTCTACATTTTCTACATATTTATCATCATTTAATTTTAGGTTTGCTAATTATATTTCAAATAAGCAAAAGCCATGCATGGGATCTAGCGGATTTGCGAATAAGAGAAAAGAGACCACGCCCACGGCGGTTAAATGAAGAAAGAACAAAATGAAAGTCAATGGTGAGAGCATGCTTTATTAATGTCAGATCTTTGGCTACTTCAGTGGCCAAGTTTACATTGTCACTTAACAGGAGGGAATAACGTTCCACAAGATTTATTAGCTTGAGTTTGGTCCAAATTGAAGTATTGAAGGATTCATAATTTGATAGTAATCCATTCAAAATGTACAGTATGATATCTTCTGTGTCTACAGATCCTCCAACAGCCACAATGTTGTCCATTAAATGCTTCACAATGGAAAGGTAGTCTGTCATTTACTAATTTTTCATAGTGACAACCAAATTAGATAGCAGGTCTCTAAATTTAGGACATATGGTAGAATGTACAAAGAAATTGTTGAGTACATTATAGCTGATAGGTTTTGATCTATAAGTATCCATAGGGTATATTGCATATTTGGGGATTTTTAACCAGTGTCGAAGAGAAGATCAAGAACTGGGCTGGATTATAAGCCATCTAGTTAACCATCAAAACCATTTGCTATAAAAAGTTTGTGAATCTAAGACCACCATAGTGGATAGTTGTCGACACGCACATGGGTTTGCATAATATTCTTAATATTGGACATCAAGAATTTGAACTGAGAAAGAATGGAAAGATTGTTGAGTTTTAGGATAGAAGAATCTATGTAGTTCACAGAACATGATGAGGCCGTTAGGCTGAGTTCTCTGATACTGTGTCGAATCCTACAATGAGCTGAAGGACAAGTAGGAGAAAGCAACATAGAAGAATAGTCACAATGAAAATAGAGTAGAGGAAAATGAGATTTCTATATATGTGTAAATGCATGTACAATAAGCGTTATATCACTTATATGTATACTAGGAATAACATGGAATTTAAGTTCCTTTAATACCCTTGGGTAGTTATGCTCCAGGTATTATGATTGGTGCAAGGGATTGTAATAGTTGTAGCAGGCAAAGTGGATGACATAAAAAGTTATGAAATGATTTGCTGTAGTGGAGAATTAACTTACCTGACTGTGCTTTCAGAATGAAGAATATGACCAACCACAGTGTTCACTTTATGATAATCCAAAAAGCTTCTATGCCCACAGCTCGAAATTAAATCAAAAAATAAAAAACATGATCTATTGCGGGCTTCAAAACTACAAAAGCAAAGGAAGAGTTTAGCTTTGGCATACCAGTCATGACTAAGAATGAAGAGAGCACATAACATCATCCCCTGTGCAGCCTAATATGGAGGCCAAGTGACCAAGCTGTTGATTTAAGTAGTGGCGATCACGAGGCCAAAGATGATGGCGCGACTTCTCGACCTACGTAACTCATCGACCGCCATGGATTCCTTACCCAACAATGTTTAGGTATCACCGCATGGATCTCCGTAAGCCTAAATGGTGGCGGCATCCCAGGATCAAACTCCTTCGTTCGAAGACTATTAAACTTCTACCATTCCGCGTCCTCCAAGAAAACGTGCCTCCTATTCCTCATCTCTTTATGTCTTCTTGGGATGAGATTCAAAACTAGTCAGCTATTTATAGTCCTGCAATTAGGCCTGCAAAGCAATTTGGTGGGGAATTTTTATTAAAAAATTGCTCACTGGATGCGGAGAAAGCAATCCAAAGTCTTTTTCAGCTCGAATTATCAGGCTCATAAACACGGCAATCTATTGCATCCGATCACTGGATGCGGAGAATAGATTCGAACATCCAATAAAAATTTGTCACGTCACCTGCGCTTTTGACTGCACTTTTGCCTTACGCTTTAGTTACGCTTTGACTGCGCTTTACCTGCGCTTTTGACTGAGCTTTACCTGCACTTTACCTGCATTTTACTTGCGCTTTACCTGTGCTTTTGACGCGCTTAATTTAAAATAATATTTTATTAATATCCGAACCTATCTTCGCGTCCAATGACCGGATGCAATAATTTGCCCATAAACACAGCTAGAGCGGATTGGCTCTAGCTTTAATAGAATAGGTTATCAAATTATTGTTAAAAAATTAAGGGTCTATTCGAGAAAATGATTTTACAGTTTTTCTTATCAAATTATATTCACAATTCTATTTGGTTACTATTTTTTGATGTTGTCTAAAATTTTTATGCTAAAAAGTTATTTTTATAGTAACTTAAAATAAAGTTAGGCCACTTGATTAATATAAATGTTTCATAACAGACTATTTCTCTGAAAGTACAAATAACATATCAGTCAAAATAGATCTTAAAATAGGAAATATGAATCAACAAATTAGGGAATTAGAGCATCATCATGGCTCTAAACTCCTCAATACAAATCACACCATCTCTATTCAAATCAAAGCTAGCAATCATAGAACGACACTGTTCAATTGGCCTCGACGAACCCAAGTGACTAAGCATTCTTTTCAAACTCCTATCTGTAATGAAGCCCTTCCCATCCATCTCGTATAACTTGAAAGCCTCCTTTACTATGTGGTCTTCCTTATTACTCTTTTCTTCTTCACTACTTTCTGTCTCCACCAATCTAATGAAGTCTTCCATGCCAAGTAGACCATCATCATCTGAGTCAACATATCGTAGCATGGCCTCAGCTTCCTCAGAGCAGAGCTCTTCTCCAATAGTTCTCATAATAAGCTGAAGCTCAGATGAGGAAATTTTACCATCTCCATTAGTATCAAAGTGATTGAAGAGACGTTCCATATCCTTCTGTGCATTTGCAAAGGAAATGGATGTCATATCCATGCCTATGATTTTGTTTTTGCAGAACTCAAAGAGATGTAAGAATGGAGATGAAAGCAGAGAATGTTTACTCTCGTAAGTATGAGTGAATTTTCTTTAGCTAATTTGTATGCATATATATAGTGGTAAGCAGTGGAACTTTTTTTAATGTTTGAAGCATCCTTGCGATTGTTTATTTATTATAAAAATGCAGCATTCCATTGAACTTGAAAATTCAACAGAAGTTTTGTGGGTTGACGACGTCTGAACTCATTTAAGGAATTATGATGGTCAGGTTTTGTGGACAGATTGTTGAGAGTTTCAAAGATGAAATTCTTTAATTTGTTTTTCCATTGACTAATATCACTTTCTACGATTAAAATACTCTTCAAACCTTTTGTGCTTCTATAAAATTCATTTGTAGAATGCGTCACCAACACATCACAGTAAAATATTGTTGACCCCTATACCTCAAACCACGCGATAAAGGAACCTAATTGATGAATAAAACATTGCGCGCCTTAGCGCCACATGTCACTTAAAGGGTCAAATGACCTCCAATTGGCAAACAGATAATGACGTTACGATCAGGACACTGAACTCTGCTGGGTCGAGGCCCCTCGTAAATGAATTGGATGAGATCGTTCAAAAGGGATGACCGACACCCGAAATTAAAGCGCGAGACTGATCAAACGATCCTGGATCGACGAACAGACTTCATCATTGTGTCTGGAATGTTGCCAACCTATGAAAACCGTATTTTGTTTATTCAATTTGGAGTATATAGATTGGTGACACAAATCCCAATGTAATGCGAAGACACGCATTACGAGTGAAATTTGCCTCGACGGTGATGATCATGATGTCCGATAATGAAATGAACAGCTCCATTGCGTCCGAAACGTCATCGAAATTCAGAAAATATATTTTATTTGATAAATTTGGGTCATCTGAGATGGTGGTGAATTTTTAGGTAATGCAAACATGATATAAAGGCATGCGTTACGACGGAAACAAGGCCTCGAAGATGCTCAGACGACGTCCGATCGACAAACGGATAGCGCCATTGCGTCCAGAACGTCGTCGACATTCAGAATATATATTTTATTTAATAAATCTGGATCATCTGAGATGGTGGTGAATTTTTAGGCGATCCAAACATGTTGCGAAGGCATGCGTTACGATGGAAACGAGGTCTCGTCAATGCTCGAACGACGTCCAATCGATAAACGGACAGCGACATTGCGTCCGGAACGTCGTCAAAATTCATAATATATATTTTATTTAATAAAATTAAATCTTTTAAGGTGGTGTCACAAATTTTAAAGGCAATCCAAATATGATGTGAAGGCATGCGTTACGACGGAAATTAGGCCTCGTCGTTGCCCAAAAGACGTCTGATTGCGAAACAGACTATGTCATTGCGACCGGAACATCGTTAATACCCTAAATACACTATTAATTTATTCAATTAAGATTGTTCGACGAGATTGACATGTAAAATGAGGAAAAACTTCACGTAAATCGAAGAATCATGCAAATCGAGACTGCCTTGGAATGATTTGTGTCATCTCGAATTAATGTAATATCATTAATGTTTTTAATTCAATTAGCAAAAATGGAAAAATCATATGCAAAGTTGAAATCAATTTAAATGCAAAATATCTCTTTTTGTCAAAGCCTCGGCCTCATATCTCTGCCAAATCCCTTAAAACCCGCTGATAATCCCGCTGAGTTTTCTATGAAGAAGATGGCTGCTCAGACTTCTTTTAATTTCTTCATCTTCTTTACGTTAAAACAAGAAGATCACCTCTTCTCTTGGGGAGAGAGGCCAAAACAGCACTTCTTGCTCTCCCAAGAATCTAACACCCAGTCCGTCAAAATCCCTATTCGCCTCTTGTTGAAGCCAAGATCAATACTTGCTCCGTCCACCTGAAAGCCACTCAAGTCCCGAATCCATTCCAGCTCATACAGCCGAGAGTTCCCTTGCTCCTAGTCCTGATCAGCTTCTGATCTCCAAGACTCAGCAACTCTTCCACTCAAGCAGCCACCTCTTTTCCTATATCAAACTCCACCTTCAAACTACAACTTCCGCCTCTACTCGTCCCTCCAGCCTGGAGCCATCACCTCTACCTCAGCAGCAGCATCAAGGCGTACAAGGAAACTTACACAAACGATCCTCAAGCACAAGACAATGATGATAAGGGATGATGTAGGACCTAGCAGCATGAAGCTGCTCAATCAGCTTTTGTAAAAGTATTGTACAGACAAGCTCGACAAAGAGGAGATCCGAAACCTCTACAACTGTTATAAGAGGATTAAGTTTTGTGTCTCCCGAAAGGATCCTCGCCTCATGAATAATTTTGAGCAGGTATACCTTTCAATCAGCACCACCTCAAGAGGTTTTACAAACATGCAATGGAATATCTCCGAACTCATTCCACGTGATGCATCAGTTTGTCCAACTGCTTTGGAAGCAGCAACAAAGTTTCTATCAACATGTATAATTGGAGCTCGGCTATACTAATGAGAGGTGAAGATCTAGATGGTGTTGAATATCAGACTGCCAATACCTGCATTTTTAATTAGATTGATTAATATATGTTGTACAGCTTCAGATGAAGCTCCTACATCATCTATAATCCACGGCATCCGTGCTGCTTTTTTTTTTCCAGAAATGTTTGACCTTCTCCACTTCAAACTTTAAGGGAAATGAGATATATGGCATTGGAAACGTGGAGATTTTAAAGCTTCAAGAATCCATTGAAGATTTTTATATTCTGAAGCAAGAAAGGGAAGATGAAAGTGAATCTTCACAGAGCAAGTCATTCAAGTGACTAATCCTTTGAAGGATGATGTGGTAATTAACTCATCCACTCAAGAAAGACTCCTATTCTCAAAGTAATGATGCTAGTGAATGTACTTCCAAGAAAGCAAATGAAGGATCGGTCAAGAAGCATAGGAGATATGTTTCAATAAAAAAAAACACCAGAACATAATAAGAAGACATGGTAGAAGTGATGGGAGTTAACACAAATCCTCATCAAAGAGGAGAAAGATCAAGTTATATTCAAATGAGAAGGAGAATTCAGAGCACACTAACTCCTCAAAACCACACATATCTGAACAAAGAATTTCTTCTCTCAAATTCCTTCATTCATTGTTGTAATTATCTGTTATTATTAATAACTATTATTGTTAGTTATTAATATTAATATTAATATTGATATAGTTATTAGTATCAATATTAATATTAGTATCTTTATATGTTTTATTAAAAAAAAAAGAGAGAAAGCCAAAAAGAAAGGAGTGAGCTTTCAAAAAAAAAAAAAAAGGTTTCAAAAAAAAAAGAGTAGAAAAAAGAGAAAAAGAAAAGAAATTTTAAAAAAATATTTGTCTCGATTTTCGAACCCTTTCTCTCTCCCTACCTCGGCATGTGTGTCGAATCGGTGGTCTTGCCTATACACGCTTTTCTCTAGCATGGTGGGAGCGAGAAACCAGCGCGACACCCACACGACAAGGTAGGCGAGAGTCTCGTTCCAAATCCTATTTGCGTTCGTGGCGCGACCGCGAAAACCACCCTATACACGCTTTTCTCTAGCGTGGTGGGATGGGCCCGGTGCGACGCCTACGAAGAGACCGGGATATTCATAAGTACCTGCTCGCGGGAAATAATTGCTTTTTTTATAAGTATCCCTGGCTGGGCGGAAAAAACTGCTTCTCTTTACAACAGGTACGAAGACCCATACATGCCTTTCTCTGGCGTGGTGTGGGGGGCCGAGATACTACTACGGCCGCGGTGTCCTCATATGACGGCACCTACCGTACGTACACGCTTTTCTCTAGCGTGGTGGGAGGCCCAGTTTTTCCGTAGTTTTCCCTAAACGGGGAGACGCCGGGAGGCTGCCGAATTTCCATTGAAACCGAGGACTTGGACAAATTTTGGAGAGGCTTGAACTGCAATCTTTTGGATAGCATGGAACTCATTTGACACTCAAATGAACATGAACTAGTGGACTTGAGCATGAACTGCAATGACTTGTATTTGGACGCTGATCAAATGATTAAGCAAGGCTTGAACTAAATAAAATAAATTCAAACTTGAACCAGAATTGAATATAAGTGAGCATAAATTTAACTTAAGCAAAGATCTGAATTGAACACAAGGAGCAAGGACTTGAACATTTGGACTCAAGCCGAAACTTGAATTTGAACAAAAATACTTCAAACATGACTTGGAATACAAGGAACTGAACTTCAAAATGATATGCAATCAAAAGCAAAAGTGATAAAATCAAATGAATGTTATTAAACAAACATTGGGTCCTTGTTGAATAAAGCTTTCAATATATTATGGCAAGTTAAAGCAAACAAAACATTGCAAATCACATAAAGATAAGGGTGATTAATTGCAAACAAATACCAACCATGCAAGCAAGTGCACAAGGATTTGTGGTAAAAGCAAAATCATGCATACAAATTGTTTGCAAAACAATGATGCAACCCCTTCAAGCAAAATGATTTCAATCAAATGAATTTCATGCAAGCAATGTTAACTCCAACGTGAAGGCGACAAATGTCACAATACCTTTACAATCAATCACCATCCAATATCGAGCAAATATGTTGATCCATTATAAGCAAAGATGGATGATACTACAATAAGTGATAGCACCTACAAACTATGTAGCAAGACCATTGGATATTGCAATGCTTTTGTAGTCACCATCATTCAGCATCAAGAAAAATATAATAAACATCTACAAGAAAGGATAAGAAGAATGCAACACATACGATCTCTCTACGAATACAGATGTATGTATAGCATGCCACCCGGGGGTAGATACAGAAAGACTTCAGTAAATGCAGTATCATGAAGTCAATCCCAGTCTATGAAGGAAGACATCTACCTACCCACTTGCAACAATAACAGATATACTACATGAGCTAAACAACTACAACGAATACAAGCATCTTCAAATAAGGCAGGAGATTAATTGGTACACTACGATCTCCTGCAAAAGCAACGATAGTGCACGAATGCTACATGTATTAAGCAGCAAATAACTCAATTCAAAAGCTGCTACGATACGCCACCGGATCTACGACATTCGTATAAGCAGACAGAAGGCGTCCACAAACTACAAAAGTCACGCCACTGGATCTGCAACCACCGTATAAGCAGACAGAAGGCGTTTCAAAAAATATTTCAAAGTACCCCCACACGTGCACCGTAATTTGTATACACATAGGTGCACTATAAGGGTAAAAGCAATCATAGAACCCGCAAGGGCCCCGGCAAGCATGTTATTGGTACACACATAACGTATAGGGAAGCTGCGCGGGTCAATAAGGGAATTCAAGTTCGAACCTGATCCTTCTATACGGGGTCAATAGAAGTCAACAGGGTTCGAACCATCAAACAAATATGTGGCCGTTGATGACCATAATATTTGTTCAATAATTCATATTAGGTCTTCAAAGTCTAAAATCAAAAAAATTCACTAATAAAGGCTCAAAGCTTAGGAAACTCGATCCTCTGTCGACAGTCGAAAAATTTAAAATTAAAATGAAATCCATCAACACTTAAAGCAAAATCCATCCACCCCCCGCAACAGTTTGTCGGGGTGAACAAATTTAAAATACTTCAGCTCACAAAGAGCCAAATGCCTAGTCGAAAATATTACTATGATCTATTCTCAAACAATCTATTGCCAGTAAGGACGTGGTACGTGTACTCTAACCCGGCAGTTTCGCCTCCAAATGGCACTACAGGTAAATCAATTATGACCCAGGGCCCTCTGAACTGAGTGGTTTTGCCGCCAAATGGCACCACAGATAGCGGTTATGGCCAGATCCAATACGCTCCTTAATGACGTTAAATTCTTGAGATATGAATCAATAGGATATGATCGATATGGCATAAAGACTATGTTAGTTAAGGTGGATTCAAATTTGTCCCCCTTAGACAAATATTCACCCCCCGGTCTACAAGGTCCCCTTGGACGAAGCAACCCATGGCTGCCGACAAGGATCCTTCTGTCAGGTTGGGTCGACTACCTCCTCTGACTAAGTAGACCAGGGACCACGATGGCCCGGGACGACGAAACCATGGGATCTTGATCGGGTACATCATCCATTCCCCCACCATCCGCTTTAAGTGCTAGGTGGTGAAATTTCTTATTTTAAATATCAAACTTTTCAAATCTTTTCAAATTCTCAAATCCAAACCCAATTTTCAAATCCAATTTCTACCAATACCTAAATCCATTGCTGCTACTATATGCCAGATAAACATGTATCTCTATACGTATCTGATTGACGACTAGCCTTAATCGAAAGTTCTCTCTCGTTATCGAGAGGGGTAATTAACTATAGGGGCTTGCTCCTATAGGAAACAAGAACTTAGATCATAAAGTCCTCGCAAATGAGGGCGAAATCTCTGGGTAGTGTCTTATCTACAAACCCATCTGCCTTCCAAAATTTACCTCGGAACTTAGTTCGTTAAAACTCCCTCGCCGAATAAGAAAAGCGAGTGGAGGCCGAGGCCGAATTTTCGGAGCCCACAAATATATAGATAAATGCTATTTAAATGTTTGAATATTGCATAAGGCAAGCTGCAAATAAGTGCTATTTAAATTGTGTAAATTCATGATATATATACAATCTTACTATTTATAATCATAAAAAAAGAAAATTATGTATGTAACTTAAAGATTATTTTATGGTAAATTTGAGAAATAAAAGGGAAGTTTTTGTAATTTTTATCACAAGTTGATTTTATATGCTAATTATGGTTTCGTTCAAGAATTTAAAAAAATAATAATAATTTTAAGGATAAAATTTTTTCGAATTAGAAAATTTTTGTATTAAAAAGATGTTTTAGAAAAAAATTAGAAAGCTATCCCAAACATAACTTTTACCTAAAATTATTTTTCTTTGTTCATCATGATCTCACTGGAAATGATGCCAAATTTTAATATATTTTGTTTGTGAGTGATGAATATGATTTATTTTCAAAAAAATATTAGCCGTGTAATCATAATAAATAGGAAGTTTATTCGTCCAACATTCACACACAATGCATTAAGATGTTCTTCACTTCGTATGAAATTTCTATCTGTTTTCTTTTGTTCAATAGTTTCGTAATGTGAGGACCTTTTCAAATATTTTTTTTTTCAACATGGTTCATTTCACGGAATAAGTGATGTTCGAGTGTTTTGATTTTTGCAATGCATTTCGTACATTCATTTGCATGATGTTGCTTATTTTAGTTATCATTTTCACATGCTTGATCCAATCAATTTGTAAGGATCTATTTTTGATAATCTTGACGCGTGGGATACTGTTGATCTCAAGAGCAAGCTGCAAAAAAAAAAAGAAAAAAAATCATTATTTGTCGCTGCCCACGCCACTTGCTACAGTAAATGCAATAATTATGCGATGTTTCAGAGTCGCCCATCCCTCACGTGCGTGCTTCCTCTCTACCTCGCTGCCTGCTTGTGATAATAAAAGGAA